TGCCTCCAAATTATTATTATTATTATTATTATTATTATTATTATTATTATTATTATTATTATTATATGGAGCCATAACCATCTAATCCCTCCCTACAGATGGCCAGCCAGCCTCCAAATTATTATGATTATGATTATATTGAGCCATAACCATCTATAACCATCTAATCCCTCCCTACAGATGGCCAGCCAGCCTCCAAATTATTATGATTATTGCTATATTGAGCCATAACCATCTAATCCCTCCCTACAGATGGCCAGCCAGCCTCCAAATTATTATTATTATTATTATTATTATTATTATTATTATATTGAGCCATAACCATCTAATCCCTCCCTACAGATGGCCATCCAGCCAGAGACCGATTGCCATTGATATGATGGAATTCTAGAATTAAAAGGGACTCCCAAAGGACATCCAGTCCAACCCCCTTCTGCCACAAAGGGAAGCACAATCTAATCCATCTGAACAGATGGCCAGCCAGCCTCTGCATTATTATTATTATTATTATTATTATTATGCAATCATAGGATCCTAGAGTTTGAAGGGACCCCAAAGGGCATCCAGTCTAACCTTAATCTGCCACATGGGGGGCACCATCTAATCCCTCCCAACAGATGGCTAGCCAGCCTCTGAATTATTATTATTATGATTATATTGAACCATAAGATCTTATAGTTGGAAGGGACCCCCAAAGGACATCCAGTCCAACCCCCTTCTGCCACAAAGGGAAGCACTATCTATTCTAATCCATCCCAACAGATGGCCGGCCAGCCTCTGCATTATTATTATTATTATTATTATTATACAGTTGGAAGCCCCCCCCCCAAAGGAAATCCAGTCCACTTGCCACAGAGGGAAGCACAATCTAATCCCTCTCTACAGATATCCATCTAGCCACAGAAATTACTATGAACATTATAGAGATGATTGAGAGATAGATAGAATCCTAGAATTAAAAGGGACTCCCAAAGGGCATCCAGGCCAACCTCCTTCTGCCACAAGGGGAGACACAATGTAATCCCTCCCGACAGATGGCCATCCGGCCAGAGACAGATTGCCATTGGTATGATACATATGATTGAGAGATAGATATAATCCTAGAATTAAAGGGACTTTCAAAGGACATCCAGCCCAACCTCTTCTGCCACAAGGGGAGACACAATGTAATTGGGTTTATTTTGTGTTATTATTATTATTATTATTATTATGTATTATTATGTATTATTTTGGGGTTTTTTGAATTATTATTATTTTGTTTATTTTGTTTATTATGTATTATGCATTATTATGTATTATGTATTATTATGTATTATGTATTATTATTATGTTTATTTATACCCTGCTTTTGGTCTCCTCAAAGGAGACACAGGTTGTGTCCAAACTCACTCCCAAACAGAGGATGCCTTCAGGCAACAACAGCCAGGCTCTAGGCAGATAC